CGTTGCCGCGCCCACTACCGCAACTTGGCCATGTCGCACGGCGTGGTGAGCCACAAGAAGGAGGAGTGGGTTCTCGTGAAGGCGGTGCGTGTGCAGGACAAGAACGGGAACGTCCGCATGGTCAAGCTCAAGCACGGCACGGAGGCGGCGGACGGCAGCTGGGACGAGGTCAAGGCGGCACCCCCGTCCTCGACCAAGGGCTCCGACCACGACCGCATCGTCGAGTACGTCCACGCGTGGGCGTGGCGCGCCAGGCGCCATGGAGCCGACCTCTTCGCTGCTTTGTGCTCGAGGTAGGTGAGGGCTAGTGAGGAGCCCGACGTCGGGGGCCGCGGGGCGTGCAAGGCGTGAGTCCATGCTCGTTCGCTATGCAGGGAACACGTTGCCACGGGGCGGGCGCCCTTGCGCGAACGCATTACGCTGATCTCCAGCTCGGGCCAGGAAGGAGGAGGAGGAGGAGGAGGAAGAGGAGAGGAGTTGAGAAGAGGGAGAGAATGGACGAACGAAGCGGAGTTGGAAAGAGAGCGTCTCTGTTTGAAGCCTTTTAGGAGCCTGGAGTGCCTGGAGCGCCCCACCCTCATCCAGTCTGGCGCCACGACCCCACGGGCCCAGTCTTTGGTCGGGCATGTCCCCCTAGAGGCGGATTTGGGACGAAACATGAAAAATACTGAAATAATTCTCTAAAATATTCCAACAATAAAAGAAGAATCGCCCTCATACGACTTGCTGACTATTTTGGAACATTCCTCCTGTACAGGGACAGGCCGGACGTAAGCCCAGTCCAGACTTCTTGCTCGTCGATCCTCGGTCTGGGAGGGGGAGGGGGAGCACCCCGTCTCCTGGGCGCAAGAGGTACGGCGCATGCGGGACGCGCCCTCAAAACCTACCAGAGGGCAAGAGAGCATGCTGGAACCTCGATCCTAGAACTCCCATCCTCCTATTCCTCCACCGCTCGCTCTCCCTCCAGGAAGAACACGCATCGGCACAACCATGAAAGAAATGCCGCCCGTGGCAGACTTCCGCGCGGGCCTCCGAAAGTCAATGCTCGCATCGCGTGTCGCCGCATGTTCTCGCTATTCCGAGTAGGAGATCGACTACACCATTGGTTTGCACCCGAATGGATTTGCCGGTCGAATCTGCAACACAACATGCTCGTAGGTTAATAACATGAGAAACGTCTTTTTCGTGGACTCGACGAACAAATATATGTTGGGGCAAATGAATTCTGTAGTCGATCTCCTGGTCGACTACTCGGCCTCTCTCCTCTCCCACTCTCCCCCTCCCGCTCCTGGCCCCGCACCGCCCACCAGGTCGGTCACAGGGGCACCTGGCAATACCAAAGCCCGCACCCTCGCGCCAGGCTGCTTCCCCGCTGTGCTCCTAGGAGCCTCTTGACAGCCAGGTGGCCCACTCAAAGTTTCTTTAGCTTCAGGCAAATTCACTTGCATGGCATTCCCCCCCCTTCCGCCGCCTTTTCAAACAGCTTTCGGTCGAAAGGCATGCAAGTGCGTCCTGGCTTGCGTCAAGTTCAAGTTCAGCTTTCCTTTCGGGCCTCGCCGCGCCCCCCTCCATCCATGCAAGCAAACTCGCCAGAGTCTCAAGGACTGCCTCTCAGCAGCACGCACTCGTGCGACGGGGGGGGGTCGAAGGAAACGGTGGGTCATTACAGTCGGGGGCGCGCAAACATGGATTAGCGATCCATGGACTTGGCGCGACGGGACCCGCCGCTAATCCACGCCTCCATTGATCCATGCTTCCGGGGATGGGCAGAACCCCCTTTAGTAAAACGTGGGTTTGTGAAAACGACCTCGGGCCCAACCCTGGCAAGCGCAGGCCTGCAAAATGACGGCCGCGGCAACCCTCTCGACACGGACAATTCACGAATCGACGTGTCAGGGTGGGGGTTCTGTTCACCCCCGATGCCTGCGATCGCCTGACACAAGTTGGGCGCCCGAGTTATCCGGGGTAGCTCGGGTCCAGGGTAACGCGGGTTTGGATTCCCGAAAAACGAACCCGAGTTAGCCCTGACCCGAGTTACCCCTGATGACTTGGGGCTCTGGACGCCCGAGTTATCCGGGGTAACTCGGGCCCGGGCTAACTCGGGTTCGGAATCCCGAACACGAGCCCGAGTTAGCCCTGACCCGAGTTACCCCTGATGATTCGGGGCTCTGAACAAGAGGGGGTGGGGGGGCGAAGCACCTCGCGCAGCCGAGCTGTCCACCACCGCCCGGCGCCAGAGGCGCCGACGCCTCGGTCGAGGACGGGCGCCCGGCGGCGGGGCCGAACCAGGCGGCGCGCAGCAGACTTTGTGTTCCCCCCCCTCTCCCCCCCCCTTCGCCCGACCCCAGGGGGCCATCGAGGAGGAGGAGGAGGAAGATACTATCAGGTCGGGCGTGTCCCCCTGCAGGAGGATGTTGGGCAAACCATTTGTGAAAGAACACCTAGCAATGCTTCAAAATCGTCAAAGCATGCTCCAAACATCGCCCCAGAACTATGTTTTAAATATGTTTGAACATTCCCCCTGTAGAGGGACAGGGCCGAGTTAAAGATACTGAGGAAACTCTCCCTCAACATATGCCCGGTTCGGGAAACCCTGAAGCGCAAAAAAAGCTTTGTTACTTCCGCCGCCCTCCTTTTTTCATAGCACTGCGCCCAAGCTCGTTTTATCGGACGCTTCGTGAGGGGCCAAATGAAACCTACCGAGTTCGGCGCATCCAAAAATATTATATTTCAGACGGAGGGGCCCTGGACAGGGACGCGCGGGAAGATCGGGGGGCCAGGGCCCCGCACCCACGCGCCCCCGCCTCTGCGGAGGCGGCACAGCGGGTGCGGCCCTCGGACCCCCTCTGGGGCCTCGGGGCAGCACAAAGATGGCCACTAAGGTGAGGCTCGAGGGCGCCTGGGCCCCACGGGCTCTGGGAGGGGGGGGGGCTCACTTACTTCCTGGACTTCTTTTTGTCTGCGGGCATCGTGTCGCCATCGCCCCTGGAGGCTAGCTGCTCGATCTGCTTCGCGGCCATTGACTGCGGGCCGTGATCGTGACCGAGCTGGATCGCCACGGACTCCGCACCCCTGTTGAGGCGTAGCCCATCCAAGGCGGTCCTCAGGACGGGGTGATGGTTGCATGCGAAGATCCAGCGTACCAGGTCCTCGCCCTCGGTGTTGAGCTCGATCGTGAAGCATCTGGTGGCCTTCGCGATCGTGTCTGGATCTTGAACGAGCTGGTCCCACCTCTCGAAGACTCCGACGGCCTCGGCGACCGCCTGCGGGTGGGGTCCCTGCTCGATAGCCTTCATCAGCTTCTCGCGGTTGGTAGCAGCGGCCTCTGAGATCCGAATGGTGGCCTTCTTCAGGAGGCCCTTGAAGTCGTCGCCCTCTCGAGGGGTTTTGCTCACTCGTGCGTAGCCCTGAAAGCCTGTCTCCAGCGCCACCTCGAGCACTTGGTCCTCCTCCAGGGTCAGCGTCAGGTTGTCGTCGCACGCCGCGGCCTGGCGGGTGGCCTCGTACTGGAGCCGCGGGCGGCGCGTCGGGCACTGGGGCCTGCCGTTGGGGGTCGTCTCCTTTTCCTCTGTGGCTCTTCCCTCGGGAGGCCTCTCCGCGCTGCGCTTCGCCCCGTTGGAAATCACCACAACCAGGGGGGGCACGCGCAGCTGGCGGAGGCGGTGGAGCCGGCGGGCCTGGAGGGTCAGGAGCTGCCGTCTCTGGAACTTGAGCCTCGCACGCCTGAGGTCCACGGCGCCGATTTTTTGAATATGACGAACAAGCGTGTCTTTTCGGCTGAAGGAGGTAGAGCATCTGGGGCACCTCAGGGATCTCAGTTGGTCATCTGTGAGGTCCGTGGGGTTGGCGTACTTCTTGTGGGCCGAAAACATGTGGTTTGCCAAACCCTTAGGGCCTTGACACATACGGGGGCAGATAGGGCACTTGATCATCACGTCTGGATCAGGAGCCACGCCCGCGGCTATCTTCGCTTCATCCTCGGCCATGTACCTTCGCACTCGCCGAAGGTGAGCTCGGGGAACCTGACGCAGCCATCGAAGCTACTGGTAGGTCGGAGCAGGTTCGGGATCTTCCAGAGCGTGGGCATCTCGGGCATCTTGTCGGGCCTCGGGGCCCATGGTCTGCAAGATCTGCCTCAAGTCCTCACGTAGGAGTCCCAAGAGAGAGCTGACTTCTTTATGGCGGGGACCCTCGAAGTTGAATCTGCCAAACACCACGGCCCGAACCAGACGGGAGGGGTCGTGCTTGGGGCCATCGCCTTCGCCATCGCCATTCGGGGGCTTTTGCTTCATGAAGCCGGGGAAGGCAGGCCGAACAACTCCCGTCCACCAGACAAGCCGTCTTTCCAACAGGGTTGAGGCTGCCGTCGCCACCCGCGCGAGCCCCCTTACGTGCACGTTACTGACATGCTGCACATCAGCGGGAGCACGGGCAAGATAACGAAGCTTACGGGTCTGCCAGTGCTCCAGCATGTTGAGGTCTCGTTTGGTCATGACAGCTATCTCGAGGCCATAGAGGAGACTCGATCGCACCAGCGAGCACCACAGTCGGACCCGAAGCTGAACGCTAAAGTGACCTTTAAACGCTCGACGGGCCAAGCGAGCATGCGCGGCGCTACCGTCCTGAATCCTATGAGAAACCTCCTCAACCATCGAACCATCGTCACGCTGCTTAGCTCCAAGATATTTGACGCTGGCAATGGCATGTACAGGTGCGGTGTGCATCTTAATGTTCGTTTGCCTGGTTCTAATGAGAGTCTTGCGGCGCTTGCTATTGGCACCCGTCGCCGCGATTAGCATCTCGGTCTTAGCGTCGTTTACTTTCATCATGCCCTGGGAGATTTCGGAATGCAGGAAGGCGAGGAATCGCGAGGCCGTCTCCAAGTTTTTCGACGATGGTGAAGGCGATCAGGTCATCCACGACCTTAATCGGCGAGACAACCATTCTCCCCTCCCCTCCATCTCCCTCGAGGTAATGCTGAGGCCTAATCTTTTTTCAGCTCAGGGTCAAAGGTGACGAATACTCCGGGAAACTCCGAGACTGGGTGGCTGCTCTCGAGGGCTGCCGTGAGGAGGTCGTACACTGCCACAAACACCAGCGGGCCCTCGACGCTGCCCTGGCGGACCCCCTTCGGCATGTGGTGGGCATGTTGGTTGGTCCTGATGTCACGGGCGATGTAGCAGATGCCTTCGTGGAGCTCCTCGGCTGTGGGTCTGGCGCTGCGTTTGACGGCGAGCGTCTCGAGTGCGGTCCAAATCTCATCGCGATCTACCAGGTCAAACGCCTTCTCGAAGTCAATCAGAACTGCCAGGATCATGCCAAGCGTTGTGCCAGAACCCAGCCGAGACCTGCGCCCATGCAAGCGGCACCGTCGGATAACTGCAGCGGCGCTTGCAAGGGCGTCACGAGTAGACCTGCACGCCGCAGCCCCGAACTGCGAGAACAATAAACAAGGCGCCAGTCCTCTAAGTTCGGGCATGTCCGTAACATTCATGTAGACCTTGCCAATGTGGTTGATCAGGTTGATCGTTCCGTAGTGGTCTTTGGCACACTTGCCGTCGCCCTTCTGTTTCCTGAGGGGGGCCGTTTCGTCGTCCTTGAAGCGCTGGGCCGAGTGGCCAAGGGCCTAGCAGGCGTGGAACACGTTCTGAAGGGCTGGGGCCGTTTCGGTAACGCATAACTTCCAAATCTCAATGACTGATCCATCCGAAGGCTGGTCGACGCGGTGATCGACATTGGGCTCGATGGCGTGCTCCATGTCTCTCACCGCGGGCATCTTGAGGACAGGGGCGCTCTTGTAGTTCGGCATGTTGCAGATGGCCTTCGTTATGTCATCGACGTCGTAGGCGCCAATGCGCGCGTCATCTCTCGGAAGGGGGCCTGGGGGCCCCCCAAGGCTGTTCATGTCAATGACTGTGCCATCGAATATGGTGCACAACGCTCGGGCTCTGCAACGACGGGGGCCACTGGCTTAGGAGCCAGGCGACGCACCACGGCGCGCAGGCGGCGGAGGTTCATGGCGGCCTCTGCTGCTTCTGCCCCCCTAGCCGTCTCAGCGAGGCGTTGGCGGCGCTCGGCTCGAACTGCTTTGGCTGCTGTTCTGGCTGCCTCGTCGAACCTGGTCTGGAGGCGGCCGTTGGCGGGGGTGGCCTGGCCCGCACGGAGAGCCATGCGCCTCTGGACCCCGTGCTTCAGGTCAATCAGGGCCAAGGTCTCATCCTTCAGCTTCGGCCTATTCAGCTTCACCGGCTGGAGGAGGTAGTGCGGGGCCGCCGCCTCGATCACCGCGTGCTCCAGCGCATTGAAATAGTCGGGGGGGGGGGGGGGGAAGGGGGCGGGGGGGGGGGGGCGCGCGTCGCACTGCTGGCCCTCTCCGCAGACCCGATGCCAAGGTTGAGCTAGATTCCGTTGGCGGAGAAGAGTCTGGAGGTGCTCACGCATCGCAACAAGGCGAGGCGGGACGTCGGCATTCTCATCACTCATTAGGCGTAGGTCTTGCACCAGAGCCTCGCGGCCCCATCTGACTGGCTTGGGTTCTGGGGTTCTTTGTGCGCGCACGCCAGCATAGATGTGGGCCTCGACTGGGCGGTGGTCTCGATATCCCCCAAGGCTGACTGGTAGGTCTTTTAAGGGGTGGGCCTTGGTGCCATAGGCTCCACATAATCTAACGCAGATGTAGTCTATGGTAGTCCAACCCTTGCCGATCACATGCTTCCACGTTCCATGATGTCTCGTGCGCTTGCCGAAGGTGTTGAGGGCGGACAAGTGGAACGTCTGGAGGGGGTCTAGCAAGCGGGCGCCGTTGCCGTTCAGGCTGGTGCGCGTGCGGCGTTGGCCCGCAAAACCAACGCGCGGGAGCTGGGGCGCCAGAGCAGCATTCGCATCCATGGTCATCACGTGGGCGACCCGCTGCGGCAACTGGCTCAGGGCGGACCTGCACGCGTCCCAAAAGCGGTCCTGGAGGTCTCGGTGGGCGATGCTCTTCTGGTGTTGGTCTTCACCAGCCTTCGCTGGTCCATCTTCGCTAAGGGGGGCGTAGCCGTTCATAACGTATAGGTCGATTTCCTTGGGTCCCTTTCGTGGTAGGCGAATACCGTGTAGTCGGCCGTCTAGCCACGCATGAGATACTCTAAATTCTGAGAGAGCGAATATACGGAGGTCGAATGCGATCAGACAGCCATATCTGCTCGTTCGTGTCGTACGCGGGGTAGGGATGATTATGTCGCCTTCTGTGGCCCAGGGAATGCTAAGCTCCATGAGCGTGCTCTGGAGGCTGACGACTGCCACTCTCCTGGATCTAGCAAGCCTGAGGATCTCTGCCTAACGATCTGCCCGAAGTAGGCTCTCGCAGTTGTAGGTCCAGACGGTGAGCTGTTGGGTGTGGCGGTGGTCTCGGCGGCGGCGGTGGTGGTAGCATACGGCGGCGCTGGTGGCCGTACTTGGTGCGGTAGGCGATGCACGAGCTGGTGTCGTAGCCAAACGCGTGGACGCCGGTCCTGCTCCTTGAGCAGTGACTTCATGCAGTACTGGGAGAAGTGCGGCTGCCGTGGCTCTGGTATACCTCTTGCCATGGTACCACACCTGTCCTTCCAATCTCAATGTTCGCACGGCCCGTCGCAGGGCCCTCTTGCCACCCATATGCACTTGCTCCCTGGGGGCCGTTGTCGGCATTGTCGGTTTTCCCTCCAGGTTCAGGACCGTCGTGCTGTGGTCCAGCGCTCACCTCGCCGACCTCTGGGTTCTCGGAGGTCCTTCCCATCGCGTGCGCCTCACGGCGCCGGCCATGGCGGCAGTAGGGAAGGAGGTCGGTTATCGGGCTGGGACTTGCGACCCAGCACGCTCAAGAGCACGCTGCGTGTCCCTCGAGCCGTCGAGGCTTTCCGCCGCCCTCCGCCGACTTCCGCCGGCGGAAGCGGCCTCGCACTAATCCAGAAGCCGCATGAAAGTGATCATTTGTTTTTTGGCCCCCCCTCTGTCACAGAGGGGGTCAAATATGCCCCCCCTCTGTCACAGAGGGGGTCTGAGATGCCCCCCCTCTGTCACGGAGGACCTCGTTCTGGGTGCTCTTCTGCCACGGGAGCTCCCGATACGATTGGAGACGATAAAATGTGATAGCGGGATGGGGGATTGGAGGGGGAGGGAGAAGAAAACGATGAAGGAGAGGAGGCAACGACAGCACCGATGAAAGCACCGTTTCTTTTTCCTTCTCCGCTCGGGCAGCGGTCGCCGAGCACGACGGCGCGCGCGAGTCGCCGCCGCTCACGATGCATTGGCAAGGCCTCCGCTGCTGCGGAGGGTCGACGTTCGGCCGATGAGGCCTCCCTCCGCTGCTGCGGAGGGGCGGCTCCTGTGCGATGGTTCAGCTAAGTTTTTCCCAGGGATTGGTTTCGGGGGGGTGTTCGACCCACCTCCAAGTCGTGGTCGCGACCTCCCAGTGCCCCTGGCCGCTACTCCACCCACTGTGGCTGCTCCACCAGTCACTGGGGCGTTGGTCGCTGCCGAATGCAACTTGCATGTCGCGCCAGGCGGAGTCGACCATGCGGTCCTGCAGCGAGGAAGCCTCGCCGCTCGGCTGTTGCCACTCGCGCTCCTCGCCCTCCTTGGTGCGCCACCACTCATCCCTGCGCCACTCCTCGTCTGTTGGTTGCTGCCGTGGCGTTTGTGGCCTCCGCTGCTGCGGGGGCTCTGGCGGCTCGTGGCCGAGGGCAGCGATCGCGTCCGAGATGTAGATGGCGGCGCCGCGCTGCCCTCGCTGCTCCAGCGGCGCAGGCCCTGGAGATGGGCACTGCGGGGTCGGCTGCCACCTTGGGGGTGATAAATAATTATTTCTATATCCCCTCCCTGTCAACTCCCGCCCCTTCCCGACACTCATTTCCTTATGTCATCCCTCGTCCTGCTCAGCCTATTCCTCATTCCCTCTCCTCCCTCCTGCCCTCCCCGTGCTCCACCGCCCCTCTCCCCCCCTCCCCCTTTCAACCCCCCGCCGCGACCTTCCATCGCCAGCCGCGGGCATGTCGCGGCCGTCGTCCGCGCTTTCGTCTGCCCATCTTGGTGGGCGCCACGCCTGTTGGGCGCGCTCGTCTTGCTCGTCCCTCTCGCTGTGCTGCTCTGGTGCCTGGCGCTCGGGTCCGTGCTGCTCGGGCGGCAGCGGCGCCCTGAGCGCAGCTGCCAGCTGTTTCTGGGCGCGCCTGTCCTTCTTCTCTTTGGCTCTCTCATGCTTCCCCCCCTGCGAACGCGCGCTGGCCACGCGCATTTGGAACAGGAGAGGGCAGTGGGCGCCGCCGTGCCAGCGCCCCTCCACCTCCACGGTCTCTGGCGGGAACGTCTTCTGCAACGCGCGGAAGAGGGTCACCTCGCGATTACTAGAGAAGCGGTGGTCCCCTCTAGCCTCAGCCTCGGCGCGCCTCAGTTTCTCACGCTCCTTCTCTTGGATCTTGCGTTGGCATTCCTCTGACTGAGTCAGTAAATCCTGGAGGTGCTCGCGGGCGTCTTTTTTCGGGTAGTAGCAAGAGTAAGGCATCCCAGGGCCTCCGTTCTGGCTGTGGTGCCAGTGCGTCGGCTGCGATGATGGGCTGGTGGAGGCCCCCGCTGCTGCGGGGGCCTCTGCCTTGCTTCTGTTACGGTACCCGATCTCACCGATCACCGACTTGCGTGCGAAGAGCAACCCCGTCTCGTCTCTGTCGTGCACGGCGCTCAGCGGCCAGCACAGGGTGTACTCGCCAGGCCTGTTGGGAACGAAGATGCCGCAGCTGTCCAAGCACGGAGTGCCGTCCAATCCGCGCCAGAAGTACGCTGCTGCCGTCTCCAATCGCATGCCTAGACCCCGAAGACTCGGCAGCGTCTGTGTGAGCGCCATGTTGAAATCCCCACAAAGGATGTCAACGCTGTTGTCCTGCAAGATGGTCGCCAACCTCGGCCACCACGTCTTGTGAGCCTCGTTGAAGCCTCTGGAATTTTTCGCCGTGTCGCGGTGGAGGTGCACCGCGCGCACCCGCACTTTCGAGCCGAAGCGGGCGAAGGTTTGATCGAAGTAGATCTCAACCACCATGATCCTCGAGAACGCTTCCATCTTGCGCCCTCTTGCTGTTCTGTAGTGGCCGTCGACACTCCTTTCCCAGTGGAGCAGCCGCATTTCGTAACACAGATTTGCGCGCGCAGCGATGCACAAGGACTTGTCCTCACGCCCGCGCAGGGTCAAGTATTCGTACTCTGGTCGATTCTGGAGCTGTTGGCAATCGCCAACACTCGCAGCACGACTTCCTCTTGCTGTCGCCATCGCTGCTGCGGGGGCGACAAAAGGCCCACCGCTGCTGCTGCTTTGGCCCTCCGCTGCTGACGCCCCCGCTGCTGCGGGGGCGTCCGCCTGCAGCGGCGGTGGTCTCCCTGGCCGCTGTAGGATTGACTCCATCTGCTCCTCACATTCCGCAAAGCACGCCACGAGAGCAGGGCAATGCCGCAGCTGCAACTCAAGTCTCCGCCGCTGGTCCGCGTGGTTGGTCTCGCTCGGCATGGAGCCCCAGTTCCCGAACAGGACGGAAAGGTTGCCCACGTTGTCGTTCCGTGGCCTGTTCACGTCAGCCGCTCTTCTTTCGCAGAAGATTTTTGGCGGGACGGTGTCGCGAAGAACGCAGTTGCGCCGCTCGACGTCGTTGGGCGGCCTGCAGTCCCTAAATTCCTGAGGCTCTTCGTCATCGCTCGGATCCACCACGGAGTCGCCTGGGCGGGTGCGTATCGTAGAAACTTCTGATCGCGCCGCCGCTGCTGAGCTTGAGACGCCAGGCGGCGCAGCCCCCGCTGCTGCGGGGGTGCCCTCTGGCACAAGGGCCCAAGGACCCTTCCAGGGTTCTGCCTGACCACCTACAGGTCGCCAAACCTTCCCAGATTTCGCTGTGAACACTGCCGTCAGTCGGCCCCGAGGCCCCGCTGCTGCGGGGCCCAATGGGCTGCTGCTGCTGCTGGCGGCCGCGGCCATCGCTCCCTGCCCCCGCGTTGCAGGGGGGGCGGCCGTCAGAGCCGAACTCCTGGGGCCGAAACGGCGGTGGAAGGAGGGGGGCGGGGCGAAGAGGAGGAAGACGGGGCGGATAGGGAAGGAAAGGGCGGGCAGAGAGAGAGGGAGAGAGAGAGAGAGAGAGAGAGAGAGAGAGAGAGAGAGAGAGAGAGGGAGAGACAGGGAGATAGTGAGAGAGAGGAGAGAGAGAGAGAGAGAGAGAGAGAGAGAGAGAGAGAGAGAGAGAGAGAGAGAGAGAGAGAGAGAGAGAGAGAGAGAGAGAGAGAGAGAGAGAGAGAGAGAGAGAGAGAGAGAGAGAGAGAGAGAGAGAGAGAGAGAGACGGACGACGATAACGAGAGAGAGAGAGAGAGGGATAGAGAGAGGAATGATATAATGACCAGGAGAGATCAGGGAGAAGGAGGGGGGAGAGCAGGAGGAGGGGCGGAGTGATCGACACCCGCGTGGTTTTCTCCCCCTGCCTGCTCTCCCCCTCCTCTCACCTCCTCCCCCGTCCCCCCTCCTCCCTGTTTCTTCTGCGCAAGGCCTGCGCTACGTCCGCGCGCGCACGCGGCACCTCAGTCGCAGGCAGGTGGAAGAGCAGTGGCTGCTGCCCGAACTCACACCCCGCGCCTCGCCGCTGCTGCGGCGGGCCGCGCCTCTCAGAGGCCCCCAGCTGCAGGGAGCGCAAGCGCCAGGGAGCCAGACAGACGGCGTCGCGTCTCACTGTGCACAAACATGCTGAAAGCTCTCGGGTTGCCCCCCAAGTACTCGTCTATGACGTTCTGCAACCATGTGGCAAACGTCTCCGGCCACTTTCCACCGAAGTCCTCCATGCCAGCGGCGTCCCATTCCCGCCGAAACCAGTCAAAATCTGACCGCTGAGCTGCAGAAAGCCCAGAACCCAAAATCGCAAGGCGATTCAGCGCGTCGCACCTCGACGTTCGAC